AAAAAAAAAAAAAAAAGATGGAGACTTTATATCTTCTGTATTAACCTGGATGGAGGTGGAACACATTCTTCTTAGTAAAGCAGTGGTTCTCAACCTTCCTAATGCCGCAACCCTTTAATACAGTTCCTGTGGGTTGCAACCCACAGGTTGAGAACCGCTGCAGTAAGGCATCACAAGAATGGAGAAGCAAGAATCCAATGTAATCTACTCTAACAGGAAAGCAGAGGGTGAGCTAATACAAGGGGGGGGGGTTAGGGTACTGAGCAAGTTGGGAGAGGGGAGGAGGGTGGAGGATGAGGGGGGTCACCTTGTAGAGCACACCTCTTGCAAGTGGGACACAATTATAAGAGGGACTTCTCTAATAAATTCAATCATTGTAACCTAATTCTTTGTACCCTCAATGAATCCCAAACAATAAAAAAAAAAAAGAAATAGAAAATACCAGAATATATTGCAAGGAGTAAGTATAAATATCGTTTTCAAAACTTTAGTTAACATCACTTTAATGCATATATACATACTACACACAGTGCATGTGTGCTATGTAATGATTTAAGGTGCAATTTTTCACTGTAAATAAGTTTTTAAAAGAATGTAAATTTGGCTCAGGGCCATAGCAGTGGTTACAGCGCCAGCCACATACACCGAAGTTGGCAGGTTCAAACTCAGCCTGAGCCTGCTAAACGACAACAACAACAACAACAACAACAACAAAAATAGCCAGGTATTGGGAAGGTGCCTGTAGTTCCAGCTACTTGGGAGGCTGAAGCAAGAAAATCACTTAAGCCCTGTTTGAGGTTGCTGTGAGCTATGGCACTCTACTGAAGGCGACACAGTGGGACTCTGTCTTAAGAAAAAAAAAATGGATCACTAAACTTTTAGAAATACTATACTACATACCTATATGCTATATCTCTACTCCTATCTTTTTATAAATCGAAGGAAAATAAAAGGAAAACTAGAGAAAAACGTACAATTCTGTTAATAACAAGCCAATTAAAAAATAAACATATCTAAAATCACATTCTGGCAGTGGAAAATATACACTCCAAGTGTTTTTTTTCTATTCTTTCATTCAACAACCATCAACACAGAAGACTTCTGTGACCAAAACTGTGGGAGTATCCTCCAATCCAATTCTGACACTTATCTACTTGGAGATTGCTGCAGATCCCACAGGATGAGGACTCAGTCCCACAAGACGCCCCTCCAGATAACAGTCAGACATTCGGGCTTTGGGAACATATAACTAACTGGCTCTAAATTGGGGTTCCCACGACCCTCACTTTGGGTTCGCTTAATTTGCTGGAGTGGCTCACAGAACTGAGAGAAACACTTTTGCTGGTTTATTATAAAGGACATTACAAAGGATACAGATGAAGAAGCCCACAGGGAGCAGCATGGGGGAAGGGGCATAGAGCTTCCAAATCCTCCCTGGGATGCCTCCCTGCAGGCACCTCCGGAACCTCCCAGTATGCATGACTGCTTAAACCACAGGTGACCAGCTTAATCTTCAGTCCCTCACCATTCCCCAGGGATTGGGGGATGGGCTGAAACTCCCAGCCCTCTAATCCTGCCTTGGTCTTACTGGTGACCAGCCCCCATCCTGAAGCTACCTAGAGGCAGCTAGCCATCAGTCAACTTATTAGCATACAAAAAGACATCACTTTGGAATTTCTAAGGATTTTAAGACTTGTATGCCAGGAAGTCACACACACAATTCACTGAAGAAGATCTACAGATGGCAAATAAGCATATGAAAAGATGCTCCACAACACTGGATATTAAGCAATTGCAAATTGAGATAATGAGATACCACTACACCTAACAGAATGGCTAAAATCCAACTTGCTGACAATATCAACCGTTGGTAATAATGCTGAGCAACAGGGGACTTCATTCATTATTATGGGAATGCAAAGTAGTACAGCCACTTTGGAAGACCGTTGGGCAGTTGCTTACAAATCAAAACACAGTCTTTACAACACAATCAAGCAATCTCGCTGCTAGGTATTTACACACTGATTTAAAAGCTTAAGTCCACAAAAAACCTGCCTGCAGTTTACAGAAGCTTTATTTAAAATCATCAAAAACTAGAAGCAACCAAAAACATCTTTCAATAGGTGAATGATTAAACAAACTGTGGTATCTCCATAAATGGAATATGAAGTGGTAAGAAAGAAATGAGCTAATAAACCATTAAAAAAACAGAGAGGAAAGAACCTTAATGCATACTCCTAACTGAAAGAACCAGGTCAATTTCAATTATATGACATTCTGAAAAAGGGAAAACCAAAGAGACAACAGAAAGGTCAGTGGTTGGTTGCTGGAGGAGGGAAAGAGAGGACTAACAGATGGAGCATAGAGAATTTTAAGGGCAATGAAACTATTCTAAATGATACCATAATGCTGGATACATGACATTATATATTTGTCAAAACCCATAGAAGGTACAACACCTTAGAGAGAACACTTAAATGCATACTAACTTTTACAAAAGATCAATTAGGTCAGGGATCCCAGGATGGAAAGCAGAATGTGACAAGAGAATCTAAATGTATTACGAATGTATGAAAAACTTCACTAAAGGGAGTGAGGGAGTTGGTGACCTAAGTAACTTTCAAAATGGAGTCTAACACAAAAGCCTAAAGGAACTGCACATAGATTTATAGTTGATTAAGTTTCCACAGGTATTATGGGTAAACAAATGATACTGCTATACAATTATATGGAAGCAAGCAGTTGAGTAAGTGGATAGTGGACAACAGCAGCCAGTTTTCTACTGTTGGAACGAGAATTTACAGATGAACAAGGGGAGGATAGAATGAACATGTGATTATGGATGTGAGTTGGAGACATCACTAAGAACTCGTATTTAGTTTAATATAGATAGACCTAATTACACACCGAAATATTTATAGATATGTGTACATACAGGCTAGAATACACACAAATATCTCTTTTCTCTGTCACCTGAGCAAGACTAGAAGCAATCTGGTAGCCAAGAGCATATTCAGCACCTAGACCTTGGTTTCTAATAACATTCTCTAATAAAAGATTTCAGGCCTCTTTGGAGAAATAGCTGATTCTAGGGCTGGGATAAGAAATATACAATATGAATCTTGTATAGCACGTTGTAGCATAAGAAATTAAAGAAATGCTTTTTTAAAAGATGGAATGGCCAGGTGCAGTGGCTCAAGCCTGTAGTCCCAGCTACTCAGAAGGCTGAGGCAGAAGGACTACTTGAGCCCAAGATTTCAAGGATACAGCGAGCTAATACCACCCGACCTGTGTGACAGACACTCTGTCTCAAAAAGGGGGGGGGGACAATGTGAGCAACAAAATAAATAAAATTGGATTAGATTATGCATTATAACCCAACGTTTAAAATAAATACTTAGGCTCGGTGCCATTAACTCAGTGGTTAGGGTGCTGGCCACATACACTGAAGTTGGTGAGTTTGAACCCAGCCTGGGCCTGCTAAACAATGACAAATGCAACAAAAAAATAACCAGGTGTTGTGGTGGATGCCTGTAGTCCCAGCTATTTGGGAGGCTGAAGCAAGAGTCTGCAGTTGCTGTGAACTGTGATTGCCACAGCACTCTACCAAGGGTGACATAGTGAGACTCTGTCTCAAAAAAAAAAAAAAAATAAAAACTTATAAATCCACACTTTTATAAATGTGTGTATATATGTATAATTAAATAAATTAGTAAATGGAGAACAAGAGAATTATAGATTTCTAAATAATTTACATAGATATTTTACCCTCAAATAGATGGAACATAACCCTCAATTCTTAGGTATGGGCTGGGCATAGTTACTTCCTTCCAAACAGTACAGTATGGAAAAGGTGGGAAAGAGACCAGGTGCAACGGATCACACCTGTAATCCTAGCACTTTGAGAGGCTGAGGTGGTATTGCTTGAGGCCAGGAGTTTGATACCAGCTTGAGCAAGAGCCAACACCTAGTCTTCACAAAATTAGCCATGCCTGGTGGTGAGCCTGTAGTCCCAACTACTCAGAGGCTTAGGCAGGATAATCACCTGAAGCCAGGAGTTTGAGGTTGCAGTGTGCTACTATGACACCACTGCATCTACCTGGAGTGACAGAGAAAGACCTTGCCTCAAAAAATAAATAAGTAAAAACCAAAACTGTAGGAAGAGTAACTCTACAGTGGAGAAACCTGACAAACACTACTTCTGCCAGATGAAAAAGGACAACATCAATAGTCATAAATCACATTCATAGTACATACCCTTGGTTTGATGTTAATGAGAATGGCACTTTACCTCTGTGAACTTCCTCCCTAAAATCTATAACCCATGGCTTGGCGCCTATAGCTCAACCGGCTAAGGCGCCAGCCACGTACACCTATGGTGGCGGGTTCGAATCCCCAGCCCGGACCCGCCAAACAACAATGACGGCTGCAACCAAAAAATAGCCGGGCGTTGTGGCAGGCGCCTGTGGTCCCAGCTACTTGGGAGGCGGAGGCAGGAGACTCGCTTGAGCCCAGGAGTTGGAGGTTGCTGTGAGCTGTAATGCCACGGCACTCTGCCCAGGGGGACAGCTTGAGGCTCTGTCTCAAAAAAAAAAAAAAAATCTATAACCCATGCCTTATTATGAGAAAAACAACAAATTCTAAAAGAGAAGCTTTCAGGGGTGTGCTCAGAGCCAGGGGCCCTTAAGAATGGCTCCTCTGTTTATAACACACCCAACAGGAATCTGGGGTGATTGCGATGAGGGGTATACAAAACTTGTGGCTTCCCTATGAACAAATCCCCTACATGTTAAGAAGAGGAAAACTGTAAAATGTGGTGAGTATATGGGTGATCACTGTATAATTTTTTCAACTGTACTATATATTTGTAAAATTGCCTAATAAAATTTTCAGAAAATTAAAAAAAAAAGGAAAAAATCAATAGAAAAGCTTTTGGCTTGCCGCCTGTGGCTCAAGCGGCTAAGGAGCCAGCCACATCCACCTGAGCTGGCGGGTTCGAATCCAGCCCAGGCCCACCAAACAACAATGATGGCTGCAACCAAAAAATAGCCGGGTGTTGTGGCGGGCACTTGTAGTCTCAGCTACTTGGGAGGCGGAGGCAGGAGACTCGCTTGAGCCCAGGAGTTGTTGGAGGTTGCTGTGCGCTGTGATGCCATAGCACTCTACCCAGGGCGACAGCTTGAGGCTCTGTCTCAAAAAAAAAAGAGAATCTTTCTACAACAGACTTGATCTGTACTCCTTAAAACGGTCAAGGTCATAAAAACAAGGAAACTGTGAGAAAGTCTCACAGACAAGGGAGTCTAAGGAGGCCTGAAGACTTCAGTTAATAATAATGTGTCAATATGGGTTAACATATTGCAACAAACCTACCACAGTTATCTGAGATAATAATAGTGAAACTGTGTGAAGAGAACACAAGGATATTCTGCACTATCTCCTCTACTGTTCTATAATGTAAAACAATTATGTCTATTAATTTCAAAAACCTAAACAGAAAAAAATGACCAAGTACAGTGGCTCACGCCTGTAATCCTAGCACTCTGGGAGGCGAAGGCCGGTGGACTGCTTAAACTCAGGAGTTTGAGACCCAGTCTCTACTAAAAATAGAAAAACTGAGGCAAGAGGACTGCTTGAACCCAAGAGCTGGAGGTTGCTATGAGCTATGGCACCGTAGCACTCTATCCAGGGCAACAGCTTGAGACTGTGTCTCAATAAAAAAAAAAAAAAGGAGGGGCACCCGTAGCTCAGCGGTTAGGGTGCCAGCCACATGCTCCCGTGCTGGTGCATCTGAACCTGGCCCAAGCCTGTTAAAAAAAAAAAAAAATCCAGGTGTTGTGGCGGCGCCTGTAGTTCTAGCTACTAAGGAGGCAGAGGCAAGAGAATTGCTAGAGCCCAAAAGTTTGAGGTTGCTGTGAGCTATGTTGCCCTAGCACTCTACCAAGGGTGACAAAGTAAGACTCTGTCTCAAAAAAAAAAAAAAAAA